TATATATATATATATATATATATATATAAATTGTCACCGTATTTGAGATCCTCTCTGTTCTTTAAAATATAAAAGTAATAAGTAATAAATAAATAAATGAAATGATTAAGTAAATAAACGTTTCTTTGATTATAACAATAAATTATACTGTCTGATAAAGTCACTTTAAAAAGATACTACTCCATATAAATGATATTGTCTGGTAAACAGTGACTTATTTAAAAATATACTGCTTCATTAAAAATGCCTTTATTAGTAGCTTGTATCATAACTACTTAAAAAAAAAAAGCCAGATTGTGGTTGAACTTTTTATCAGCTTGTATTTTAATTAGCTTGTAGCAAAGTTTCAAAAGTAGCTTCACCAACATTTTTGCATTTTAATGAGTCTGAATGCAACAAATTGACCCTTTTGAGTCATTTGACAGTATTTATATCTGCCTCACAAGAGCGGTGACTCTTTTCACAGGATCAAGACGAAAAGGCCACAAAACCAATCTTCTCAGTGAGATTCGTAACTTAATATGCAAGCAAATTACTTCAGCACACACTCAATTATTGGCTGCTCACGCCACCGCTGAACTCCCGCAATATAATCACAGGATGAGTGAAGCCAATATGCCCATACTTTAAATAACAAAATGTTGACACAAAGAAGCCTTTGTATGTGGAATGAAAGATGCAGAAGCATATTGCTTTTGACCCCAGACTTCTCCCAGTGTAGACGTCTGTAAATCTAAGATTGCTTTATTCTTTCCCCCGCCCCACTCCGGCCCGTCTGCAATATGAAAGCAGGTAGCGGGAGTTTCTTCTTGACACAGATCAATAAGCAGCCTCGCTCTTCCTTATCAGAGATGGCTTGTAGAGATATGCTGGTGGGGGCGGCTGCAGGGCTTTCATGATGGATGACAGAAAAATTGACCCTAAGATCCGCCACTGCACAAGCTTTAATCTTCTTTTTTCGCCGCGAGCGGAGACAACAAACACATGTGGCACATAATGACGCCGCAAAGCTCTCCAACTTGATGTGGCCATCAACAGTTGTGTTTGAAGTGGTCCATCCATGCACAAGGACAAACAATGCTAAATTCAACTACACAAATATAAATGGATACTAAATAAATTAAAATGAAAAAAAAAAGCAAGTATAGTTAATAAAAAAAGAAGAAAAAAAAGAAGAAAAACCATCGAATCAAATTATACCAATGTCAACATGTAAAGTTGTACCCGCATCCTTAAAAAAACATTTTCTACACAAAGGTAAAATAAATAGAAAAAAAAATATATATATATATATAAAAATAAAAATAATAGCATAAAAACACTGAAAAAAAGGAAAAACATAAAAAAATTAATAAAATGTATAATTAAAAAATAAATAAATAAACACCTAGAGCAGTGTAGGACATTTTTACAATTTCTGATGTATACAATCTTTTCCCTTCCTATCACACACTGAAATATATCAGATTGGAAGCAAAATGGGTTTCAAAAAGCATTTCATGCAGACTTAATAGCAGGGTTATTACAGTTAACTAAAACTAAAATTGTTACTTGAAATAAAATAATTTATTTCATTAATAAAATAATTCAGCAAAGTTTAACTGAAATAAAACAAAATCATAAATTATTATTAAATATTTTTAAGGTAAGGCAAAATTTCTCACTTTTATTTAGTTTAACCTGATGTATTAAAATAACTAAAACTGAAATAAAAATGTATTTTAAAAAGTATAAAAACAGCCAACCAAATTACTAAAATTAAACTCAAATTAAAATTTATACGAAAAAAGAAATACATAAAACTAGTGGTCGACCGATTTTTTTTTTTGACAGCCGATGCCGATATCTTGGAAAACAGGGTGGCTGATGGCTGATATAAAGCCGATATAATAGAAAGTATTATAATGTTTGCCTTTCTATTACTAATAATATAAAAGCAATCGTTATAATACTTTTTGTATACATTTTAATTCCTTTGTTTAAAAGATCTATCAGATTATTAGACAGACTTCTGTCCAAATTAGACAGAACTGTTAACGACGACGGCGAACAAGAGGGAGAATGTGAGCACTGTGTGCGCAGGCGCTGCCGTGTCTCAGCGCCGTCAAAATAAAAGTCACGCCTCGAACGCATCGGCCAAACAGAAAAACTTATTGGCCGATGCTAATTTTTGAAAAATGCCAAATATCGGTCGATTTATCGGCCGACCACTACATAAAACTATTAAAATTTGAACAAACTAATTTAAAATACTAAATATATACTAAATACTAACATAATAAAAACTATAATAGTACCTCATTGTTAACAAAATAACACAGCTTCAAAGTCAACATCAAATTTGACCACATTAACTTCAAAATACAACCTGCATGAATCATATATGGACACTTTCATGGGCTGTTTTGTCCCTTTTAGACCTTAGCAGTGTGAATTACCATCGACTACCGTTGAAGTGGGAACATCTCTCAATAGTGTTTCCGAGAAGAAAATTATACCTGTTTGGAATGACATGAGGGTGAGTAAATTAGTCAGAGAGAGTGGCTGCAGGTGTGTTCAGTCCTACCTTAGTCGCAGAGGTGGTGCAGGTGGAGGCTAATCGCTTGCAGGTCAGCTCGCTATTGGCCGTGCTCGTTGCCCCAGTGACCGGGGTGGGCAGCAGCGAGGGGATGACGGGCAGGGGCAGGAGGCCGGGACGGTTGTTGCCGCTGTTGGGGATGGAGGAGGCAGAGGTGGAGACGCAGCCGTTAACTGTGCCGCCGCAGCTGCTGTTGGAGGCGCAGCGCTCCCTCCGCTCCCACACGCTGCGGAAATCCCGCTCGAAACGCTGATGGTACCGTGACATCACAGAATGGAGCGGAAGAACGAGAGACACTTCTGCTCACGGCGAGCTGGAGAAAACCTAACAAAGGAGAACAAATGCCTTATATTAACGTCTCAAAAAAAATAATGCTACTTTACAAACAAACACACAATAAAGATCAATAATATCAAAGATATCATATCGAGATCAAGATATATTGGCAGATGACAGCAGAAATAAGCGTGAAAACAGTCAGTCAGTGGCTAATAAGCTAATGTGTCTCTGTGTGAATGAATGGCGCGGTTTCCTCTTGTATACAAACTCAAACACACAGTGTTTTCTGAGTCTGTGTCTCAACATGAGGACATGAACCCATGAACTTCACCTCCAGAGTCACTTCACCAGCTTTTCACTGTTTAAGCACACATTGTAAGCGCTTCGTGTTAAAAACTGCAAAGCACAAAGGGAAGATAAATTGATGCGTAGTGTATTATATCTTTGCAACAGTTATTGAGCCTTCAATAAAGGCTCAATAAAACCTACGTTTTTTTCCCTCATTTAAATAAATGTAGAATTTATATATCTCTGTGTGTGGAACTGATAATCATTCTTTCACAATCTACTAGATACAGACTACTTCATTATAAAGAAAAATAAAATAAACAATAAATATGAAAAAATACAGGCCTATGTATATTTATAATCTATGATAAATTTATCATAAACTAGGTTAGTGGATAATTCAGCAGCAAAAGTTATTCTAGAAAAATCAGTGCACAATAATTTTAGAAATCCAATTATTTAGTGAAAAAACAATATTTTGTGGGGAACAAATAAAAGTGTTCTAATAATAATAATATTATTATTTTTACGAATACCATACAAGCAAAATATTTTTTCATCCATGTTTTACTTCATACAGCTCTGTTGTGCAGCATCCTATTTGACCAAAAATAAAAACGCAATGTTTTGTTGTAATTGTTACATTTTCATTTGATTAAATTTTTAAAGATTGATTAAAATTGTTGAAGTTTTATTAATTCATTTGATTACACGTGATTCATATTCAATCATAAAACACAGAATCCAGAAAAAATAAAACCGAAAACACAGAATTTAGAGAAAAATTTAATTTTCATGGGGCCCACCAACAACTTTTGCTCCTTTTCACACAAATTACGATTACAGGGGCAGATTATCGATTAATAAATACTTCTTTTCATGCACAATACTAAGTTATGACCTCAAAACACTTACCATAGCGCATGATTTGTAAACAAATACATTTTGATGTTTGCAGCACATAACCAGCTTCATACATACGGCTTTTCTGATCACTTAAACTTGCTCGGTAGCGCACCTGGTACAGCATTGTGTGAAACACAAGTCACAATAAAAGAGCTCAAAGACTTGTGGAAAAAAGCTAAAATGGCATGGTTGATTCAGAAAATGCATTTTGTGTGACGTTTGCTTATGTTGACCTATTGTTAGTATTGCCCTAGAAGTAATTGCGATAAGCGATATTATTGTAATTTTAAAGACCATTTTATGCCACTGAATATATAATCATAATGTAACAGCATAATAATGCAAGAAGGCCTACACACTTCCAAATGACAACAAACTTTTAATTTTTAAGAATATTTTGATCATGGAAATTAAGTATCAAAATATTAGATACCTTAAAAAACTTGAATAAATAGTAAATAAACATTTTCTAACAAAAAGTGCAAAGTAACAAGTACAAAAAAAAAAGAAAAATGCACAAAGAACTTGTATGGAGATTTTTCCATCTACCGCTTTTTCCCTGATTGAAAAAACAGTCACTGCTTAGCAGTCAGATGTCCGTATGCACAAAGGCACAGATCCCTAAACAAGACCATATCTGCAGATGAAACTTTTTTTTGTTGAAGCATTTTTTAAATTTGAACTAGCACTTCATGACTACACCACGTTATGTATGAGAAGCTGCAAAAGACACAGGCACAAGTGGAATGTAAAAAAACACGGTGACATTAATTTTTAAGTAAATATAATGGGCGATATATTGCGTCACCAAAAATAATTGAGGTCATGTACATATATTGCGCGATAAGTCGATATTTTGATTATTGCGACAGGCCTAATTGTTAGCACTATTGTCACACTTTAACCGTTTCTGAGAACCTTGAAAAACAATACTATTTCACTTTGAATCTGCTGTAAAACATGATACAAGCAATGCAATATCCTTTTGCAAAAATGTACCCACAAATGTTTTTCCTTCTCTTATTACACTGGGCTGTTTAATAAACCCACATATGCAATAGAGAAAAAAAATTATATTGCTTGGCAATATTGCAGCAAATTGTACCTTGAGCAATGCATTTCTGGTTTTGCAGAAATGTAGCCAGAGTCACGTATTTCCACTGATTGCTGGTTGGCTGGTGTTTTAACGCCATGCCAGCTTCCTTGGCTTTTCATTGTTGAAATAGTGTAAGAGAGCAATTTAAAAACCTATATAAGATTTTATAGGTTTGCTTCAGATTAAAAAAAAAAAATCTAAAATGAATTCAGGGTAGACAAGTTTCTTCAAAAGAGTCGGTGGAGTAATATAACTTCCTAGGAGAACTTAAGCCAGCATAATATAATAAAATTTGTTTAAGAGATACTGAACGTATTTCCAATTAGCCTGGGCTGCAAAATGGATTGCTATGGATTAATAGATCAATTATCAAATTAGCATCAACTATACTGAAATAAAATGCCATATATTGCCTTCTAAAAGACACTTTTTGCTGCTTTTCTGTGCAAATATTGATGCATGCCATTAACTCTGATTAATGTGATTAATTAATCAGCACATCATATAATTAATCCACTTAAAATGATTCAATTGACAGCCCTAATTAAAACATTACAACATCTCCTGATCTCATTTTGAATCTGCTGAAACCTATAAGTATTTTAAGATCGAACGCATTACACTTTACGCCTCTAGGTTCAAATGCATCAAAAAGCAATAATATCTGTTCATGCGTTTCACTGCTAGATAAAGTTCAACACTTGTAGAGATTCAAAGCTCATTGTCACCATGCAAAGACTGTAAACTACCATCTGGATTTGATTTATGATTATGAATAAATGAAATCTCGATCATGTGCTGATGTGTGCTGCTCCACCTCATCTTTAAAATCACACACAATGAAAATCAAACAGCTTTAATGTTAAACTAGATAAATGTGTTGCATAATTCTGAAGGTGTTAAACATATTTAATTAATCCTATTATAAGTTATGTTTGGCAGCCTTTCATCAAAAGACACCACTGGCTGGAAACACTGAAACTGAATAGATTCAGATATGGTCAGCATCTCTATTGTCACATGATTCATTCTGTATGATTCTGCCTTTAAATTCAGCACAAAAGATGGGAGGTCACATGTTGTCTAGAGAGTGGAGATAAGCAACTGCTTTACAGATCAATCCAGCCATGATGTGTGACAGCAGCACAAAAGAGCAACGCTGATGCTGATAACAGAAACTGTGTGAATGAACATGTTTGGTGAATGTAAATCAATTTTGTGTGAAAAAGACACTTATTAGTCAATCAATCAATGGGTTTCCAATGACTGATGCAGATGCTAAAATTCGATATTAGATATTTAATTAAAATATAAATGTAACATATAATTAATATCTAATTTACTTAGTATATTTATATGTATTTGTTTGATTTGAATATTGTTATACATATATTTACTTTTATTTATAATAAAATACATGTATAAAAGTGATTTTGTATGTATTTGTTAGTTTTCTTTTTTTTTAATCAAAGTATAAAAATGTAATTGTTTACAATTATTTTTAATTTTAATTATACTTATCATATATTATTTATTATATATTATAATAAAATTGAAATATAAAAAAACAAATACATATAAATATGCATTAAATTTTGAATAAATATTTAACATGGACAAAGGTTCTAGTTAACACTTAAGTTAATCATCCAGTCATGCATAGTTATCTGCCTGTGCTAGTAATCTCAAAATCAGATAATCACTCATCAATATTTCACACCAATAATATGATGAGCATATCTGATGTTAAACTGATTAGATTATTCATTAGTACTTCAAAGGTTCTCCCACACAATAATTGACCTTCCTAATTCATGAAAAAAATGTACTATGACCAAACTTGTCAGTTTCATTCAGACTTATTTTGAATATACTGGCAACAATGTGTGTTTGGTTTTAATGATGGTTTCAGACCACATATATATCAGGTATATATATCATATATCATATATCATATATATCATATATATCAGGTATATATATCATATATCATATATATCAGGTATATATATATATATATATATATATATATTTAATACTGTCAAAAGGATAAAAGATATCAAGCTAAACTGTTTATCACTCATCCCAATATATGCAAATTCAAATGCGCATTATTCATGCACTTCATTCAAATGCATACAAAACAGCTGGAGAAGAATCGCTCTTTCTCTTAGTTTAAAGAAATGATGGCAGGTTTAGCGCCAATGCAATGTGGCAAAAACCAGAATAATCAATCATTTATCAGAGACTTTTCTGTTGTTCTTGTGGTAAACAGAGTAAGAGCTTAGTTTTTAAATTTAGTTTAATTTTCATTTTACCCAAAAATCTAAGTTCAAATTAGAAATGAATAACACCATGTCTTAATGCTTAAGTTTAAGTATATTGTGCAAAATCATGAATGTATAATAACTGGCTTTAATTACAATTTAAAAAGTGCATTAATTCTTAAATGAAATAAGTTTGGGACCTTGAGCTTGGGAATGGCGCTTTAAAAATAAAAATTATTATTATTACTATTATAAAACATCTACATTTAATATTCTATACAGTTGATAAATGTTGAAACGGAGACTCATGCTTTGACAATACTGTACAATGTCATGATCATTTCATTTCTGCACTGCACTGGAAAACAAAAGTCACCGATGATGGAAAACAAGGAAAAATTGTATGTGACAAAATCAAATCCCTGGGAATTCCACAACGCATGCATTTTTAGACAGCCTGGATCCAGCAGTTCAAACGGCTGGAATAA